CATTATGAGTGGTCAGAATGTCCACTCTCTGTCCGTTGGTGTCTCTGCTCCAGGTCACTTTACCGTTAGTTAGTTTTCCACAGTAAAGGGTGGCGACGTTTCCCTTTATTCCAGTCACTTGTAAAGTCTCTGTTGGTGAGAACAAAATGGAGCAGATACAGTTTTAAGTGTGCAGTGTTGCTTTAATTTGTTTATTATAGTTTATTACACTCTTAATTCATTGTTTCATCATTGTATGTTTTCTAACACTGTGCCAGGCCTCTGGCTTTTGTCTTTCATCATTTAATTCCTTTCTGTGTCTGTTACTAAAGAATATACATCTCCTCCTCAACTATACACTACAGTCTTTTAAATTCTATATGAATGCTATTTAACCCATTAAAGTCTCAGGCTTATTACATACTAAAGCTTATTGTTTAGTAACTGCAGGGACTTCCATGCAACCTGGCTGAGCTATTCTGAGGTTTTAGATGTGTGTAATTAAACTTTGGGCATGCTGGTGGGCTCTGGCCATTTTTCCGGACCCAGGACTGCTTGCTTTGCAAATTCAGTATGTTTGGTGAAGTGTGAAAGCTGTTTTCGTTTCACATTCTGTATACAGTCCTTGAACAAAGTACTTTAAAGATAATTATTAAAACATATCCGAAACTTAAAAAAAAAAAAAAATCATGAAATGTCCCACTGATCTACCAGCTGCTAGATAACATCTCTGAACAATATTAAATCATAGCCAACAATGGCAATAAGACATACTATTGAGCACAATGTGGCCGCTAGTTGTGTTGTATAACTGATAACATCGGGTGATATAAGTTTATATATTGTATTTTAGTTCTAAAGTATTAGTTGAACAATGCTTTACTGACTGATTATCAGTTTTTTTAATGATCACATGTCTAAAAATCAAATAAACAGCAGAAACTCAGTCATAAATAAAACATAAATTGATAAAACAGGTCTTTAGTACACCAGTACATAGTGATAGATCTGTTGGGCTGTAATAGTGTGTGATCACCAGTCTTCAGTCACTATAGCAATCTACACAAATCAATAAAAGGGTTTTGTTGTTCTATTCATGTTAGAATTTAATAAGTTATGTACTGTGGGCATGTCGAAAAGGGGAATTCCACCAATTTTTGTTCTGAAGTGAAATGCACCAGCCATACCTGATGTCATTGTTTTGAGACATTGTTTTAGAATAGTTTATGGAGGCTTCAGCCTGAATTTTTTTTTCTAAATAAATGTATTTTTTAATATCCATTCAAGATGCAGGGATACATACAGTGTGTTCTGAGGCAAAATATTTTCCTATCAGACTTGTGACTCAGACTCGTGTAGGTTCACTGGTGGTTTTGGATAGCAAATAAAATATCTATATCTGTGTTGTAGTCATGGCCCCTGGTTCCTATCACCACCACTGTAAAGAAATCTTCAACCTAATCCCATTTCACCCCTCACTCCTACCACTTAGTCCTTAGTTAGGGCTACATGACCCTCCAAATGGAGGTTTTTCAAAGACTCACTCCAAACAGAGAAAAAAACAGCAAGAAGGCTGAACAAGAGTCCAAAGAAACCCACAAATATGATCATTTTCTCTGTTAAAAATTACAATAACTGTCATATTATCTTAGTTTAATGTCATTTCAATGCATTATGGCCCTTTTCTTTATAACAAGAGTAAAATCTCTAGTACTAAGCTAAGGTCTCGGTAGCTAGCTAGCTAAATTTCCCATTCCACCTTAAATGGTCCAGCAGTTCTTGACAAAAACTACTTAGAATGTGAAAGTTTTCGCGTTGAACAGTGTTATATTGATATGATATGATATGATATGATATGGTTATTGTAATATGACAGAGTTAAGAAGTTCATGAAATGACTGCAGTATAAAATAATGGGCTCAGTTCTTCCATTCTTCACAATGCACATTTTTGCACTGCGACACTGCGATGTCTCATTATATTATTTACTCCCCCTTCTAGTTTATTAACACAGTACAGCTACAGAAGTGTGTTCCACCTGTGGTGTAGAGTACTCACCGCTGCTGATCATGTGTACGCTTCCAAACAGCAGGAGACAGAGGAACCCAATACACTCCATCATGATCGGACAGAGAGTGACAGAAACTAGACAAGGATAGTTTCAAATAAAACGGAAAGACAGAAATAGACCATAAGAACACAGAAAGCATTTCCTCCTGTTCACTCACAGCTGTAAATGGTTCCTGCAGTGTGACAGCGTATGACAAAATGTGTGTGTAGGAGTCAGTGACTCGGCTCAAGGCACAGTACTTTAGTCATTTTGACCAGAGAATAAAACACAAACAGAACTGATGAAATTAGGACTGTCACCTTAACGCTGTAAACCTTTTATTTCCAGCCTTAAGTGTGACTCAGTTTTGCTTCAGCCATGCACAGTTATCACTGCATTAATGTTCATCTGCTACTTACAGCAATGGCAGGTTTGATATGCCTTCAAATAACAAGCCTTTCATTACAGAAGAACCTTCAGTCTGATGGACAGAACAAACAGCAACATGCAGCAAAGCCTGCACTGGAAAGGAAAGAGGCAAAACAGCTTAAAACGGTTGCCTAGCGATAGTTTTAATAGCAAGTATGCTAGCAAACACCATAGCTAATTGAGATGTAGTGAATCTATCTGACGTTTTAATAGGTTTGATCACATTTCTATAAACTTTACTAAAAGTTCAAATGGACTCAAACCTCAGAGACTTGATTTGGACTCACCCCAGAGGCGAGACTCAGTCACGCCTCAGAGACTCAGCTCGCACTCACACTCTACCTTTTCGATCATGCTAATTTCTGCCAACACCCTTGTGTGATTTCTAATAGTATGAGAGCCTCAGATGCTCAAGACTTGAACCAGACTCATACCAGAGATTCAAGACTCTTCACTAGGTACAAAGTTCTGCTCCTGACGAATAAAACTCTAAACGGTCTCACCTCTCAGGACCAGCAGGAACTTAGGTTTCAAAACTAAAAGGCTAAAGCCCTTCTTGTTTAGTAGAGATTTGGTAACTAGTTTTCCTGTTAAACAAAAGATCTGGGGTTTCACTGACAGAATACTATGGTAAACTGAGCATGTCAGGGTTGATGCCCTGCCTCCCTCATATGCTCACTCCAGTTTGTTGACAGTTGAGTGAAGGGGTGCTGACATCTCAGGGACCCCTCATGCCTCTGCCACGGTGACACAAGCAATGGAGAACTATCCTTTTATCCTTGATTGTGGAGCACATTTTCTGCTCAGTGTTCTGTCGTTCGTATATCGAAGGCTGTTCTGCAAATAGGTTGAAGAAGTCCGGGGACAGGGGCAAGGGGCAGCCTTGGGGCAGCCTTGTCGAGCTCCTTTGCCAGTGTGGAAGTCTGTTTGTCCATGTTGGGACTGTGTTGTGTTCATTAGTGTTGAGACTCTGTATTAAAACTATAACATTCTCTGGTTTTCCAGCTTTTCTAACGACATTCCATAATTTTACTCTTAAATTGTTTGTATACAAGAACATCATTGCTATCTAGCTGTAGGCTAATGTTTTAAAAGCTGTGTGTTCTACAATATGAGCTGCGACTGTACAATACTTGTGACCATAACCTTCAGACACCCAAGAAATAAGAGCACAAAAGACTGAAAAAGGAGATTTTATTCATATTGGTTTTTACAAAAAGGTAAACAAAGTGCTATTTAGAAAACATCAAGTAACACAAATAACAATATAATAAGGAAAGAGAAAAAGAGAAATAAAGTTTACCAGGAAAAAATTCCACTCTTCTGGGAAGCTTCTAAAGATTGTGGAGTGTGTTGGTAGGAATTTTGAGAATCTGATGAAACTAAACAAGTAAATATAATGATAATACAATGATACAAAATAACATCTAATGCAAAATAACAAATAATTAAAGCAGAAATAAAATAATTTACATTCTAATACGTCAATAGATGTAACAGGAAACTGAATTTTGTATATTAATATAAAAGAGAAATGTAAGCATTGTGTGTCAGACTTTCATTTTACACAACTCTGTAGTCTCTGTAATAACTTTGAAAGTGAAACTGAAAGTTACAACCAGATAGACAACAGAAAAATATAATAAAACTGGAGGTCAGTATACAGCAGTAATGAAGTGAGAGTAAAGTCCAGAGTTTATTCTGTTGGCTTCTGGATTTTGACATATAGCTGTTCAACTTGTTCCTGATTTAGAAAAAAAAAATACTTAATTAAACTTTTCAGAACTATCTTAAAAAAACATTGTATTTGTTCTGGACTCGCAAAAATCATGCAGTATTCATTTGATGAACAAATTACATTTTGATGAATAAATACAATTTATACACATTTATTTATATTTATACAATTTATACATTTTACAGGCATTTTATCAGCTCCACCTACTATATAGGTGCACTTTGTAGTTCTACAGTTACAGACTGTAGTCCATCTGTTTCTCTGATACTTTGTTAGCCTCCTTTTACCCTGTTCTTCAGTGGTCAGGACCCCCATGGACCCTCACAGAGCAGGTACTATTTGGGTGGTGGATCATTCTGAGCACTCATCAGTGGTCACAGGGCTCTGCCCACAAGATGCTGTTGGCTGGATATTTTTGGTTGGTGGACTATTCTTAGTCCAGCAGTCACACTGAGGTGTTTAAAAACTCCAGCAGCACTGCTGTGTCTGATCCACTCAGACCAGCGCAACACACACTAACACACCACCACCACGTCAGTGTTACTGCAGTGCTGAGAATGATCCACCACCCAAATAGTACCTGCTCTGTGAGGGTCCATGGGGGTCCTGACCACTGAAGAACAGGGTAAAAGAGGGCTAACAAAGTATCAGAGAAACAGATGGACTACAGTCTGTAACTGTAGAACTACAAAGTGCACCTATATAGTAAGTGGAGCTGATAAAATGGACAATGAGCGCAGAAACAAGGAGGTGGTCATAATGTTATGCCTGATTACACCAATCAGACAAACAGAAAACACTGCAGTGAGTTTTGTGTGTTTACCGTCTGTGTTTGGTTGTTTTTCAGGGGTTCTGTGGCCTCTTGCGCACTCTGCTGGTAATCTGGTCAAAGCAGAGGAAAAGGAAGGAAGTTTGACTGATTTTCCTTCACACACACAGCAGCTTTCAAACATAAGTTCATGAACATGGGAAAGGATAGAAAAAAGGGGTTTGGCTGATTTTAGAGAACAACACTGGTGAAATTACTGAAAATTGTCAAAAGTAAAATCTGTTTTTCTGTAGTATTTATCCTTTAAACAGAAAATGTAACTGAATTTGACAGACTTCATTTATATTTAGCTAGCTACACTCGCTAAAAGGCATTGCCAACTGCAGCTGTATTACCAAACAAGAGGGCTTCCATTAGCTGCTGGCGCCAGCTGGCTGAGATGGAGCCATCTCTGTGACACATTTACAGCAGCAATTTCTGTAACACTATAAAAGGAAAGCAGAACTTTGATATGTAATGTGAATTTGATTGACTTTGTTTAGGCTCTTTTGTAGCTAATGGTATGCTAGTGGGATACAGGTGCTAGTTATCTAGCCTACCATTAGCAGTTTAAGGAACACCAGCTTCACATGAGAGCAAAGGTTAGCTGGTTAGCGATCTGCCTCGTAGCACCATTCCTTTAGTTTCATTAGGTTACCGTTTTTAAAGCAGTTCTTCAGATAACGTCCAGATTTCACTGCTCGCTCGAAATCACGACTTCTGGCTCGTATCTTAGCCCTGTGGTTATGCTGTGACCTTTTGGTTTCCACTTTCTGAAAGGGGTTTATAGTGTGAGAGGAGCCGTGTAGTGTCTCTGACGTAATGTGCCAGCTAACAGTAGCTGATGATACCAAGCTGATAGGAATTACATCATTGATGGTTTATTGACTGTAGCATCAGCTTTTTAAAGATGTGAGTACCACACTTGAAGGTAAGTGTGCCTTATTTTAGCCAGATAACCGTTTGGCATAATAGCCGCTGTTGGCTATGGCTTATAGCTAGCATAGCTAGCTAAATATAAATGAAGCCTATCAAATAAAACTATTTATATACTAGTTTCACTTTCTTTTTAAAACATAAAAATGACAGAAATTGCTCTTGTGTAGTACAGACAGTCACTGATTCGCAGCAGGTTTCAAATGAATGCAAATGAATGTGGCTGCTGTACTGTGTTTAGCCAATCTGGCAAAGGCAGACTGGTCTTCATCACAAACAGCAAACACCTTTATCTGACAGTACACGGCAGAAACTGCGCTGCTCTTTATCTTCTTTGAATCATGACAGTTTTACACAATAATGAAAATATAGTTTTATACAGAACAGTGAGAATTTGGAGGAAAGATGTTTGATCTGATAAAGCTTTCATGGTTTGAGCAGGAAGACAAAATTTAAACCATGCAGAGCTCGTAGGTTACTTACTCAGTTAGCTAACGTGCTATTAAGATTGAGCAAGCTAGCTTTCTAGTTTGTGTGTATGACTGATGCACTCTGAAAACTGCAGAATCATATAAATCATATGTATGTATTTTAATCTCATTGGAAGCTTCTGTGCAACAGCAAACAGTGTATGAGATACAGATGTTTACTGCCCGAGAGATGTTCAGTACGGTTCCTTGATTTCCATAAGAAACGCCTGTGTGGTGGAATCCGGCGAGAAAAAGTGCAAGTCGCCTTTTATACTCAAGAGAGATTTTTACCTGGAATGCTTGAGCTCTGCTTCATTCACACATCGTCACATATGTTTTAAATGGCAACAACTTCATCATTTCTGAATCATGTCTAAAAACAAACTCACTCCACTTTTTTTTCTCACTATGACTGAAAACTCAACTATAATCTCCAATGCATCACAAATGTTTTGTTTTGTGCAGTAGTTTAAATAATAGTAGAGTTTTAGTGATTTAATCCAGAGTATCCAACAATTAATATGTGGCAATTATGGTGGGAACAAAGTTAACATGTGTTTCACGATTATTTGCTTCCAAATGCCAACTCTGAATTGTTCTGATCAAAATAATAATGATTTTTTTTCAAACAGCTGACAAAAGAACACGGTACATTTTATAGAACACCTGCAAAGTAAATTGCAAAGTTGCTGAGCTCAATTCGATTTGGAGCTGAATTCGATTTTTGGCTTCTGTTCACACTGAACACCTTATTTAACTACCATTAAAGTCACAGGTAGAAATGCATGACTGAAAGGAACTGAAGAGGAAACACTAAACATACTTATCAGTTTTCAAGGGAATAAAATGTGCTTATTAATTTCTCCCCTTCATTTCACTTGCTTTCCTGTATCAGAATATGCATTTAGACAACCAGAAACAGTGACTGCTTGGCCAAACAAATAACACTACTACTAATAGTAATGATAAATGGAAAAGTGTCAGATCTACTTTTGCAAACTGGATTGCATGAGAAGAGCATTTGTTTACATGAGAAAAGACTGTTTTTCTCTAAACACCACAAACAGGTGACAATATAGCCAGAAGGCAATCATGAATTAGCTCAAAGAGAGAAAAATGATAATGATATCATTACTGTGATCATTTATAATATGTCATTTTGTCAACATTGGTATACTGAGCTGTAGACCTCAAACAAATAATCCCTTTCAAAACGCTGAAAGGTGTTCCATTTCTAATTGCAAAGCTGGTTGTGCAGTTTGGTCTGCTTCATTTGTTTTGGGGCAGAAAAATAATGAATGCAAATCTGAGCATAAACCAGCAGATGGACTCCTAAAAAGTACTGCGGTGGGTTTACCTGTGATCCGGACTCCTGAAAAAGTTGCCAGGTGGTAGACGGTTTCCTGTGTGTTTAGTTGGTCACCTGCTAATAGAGAAATACAGCATGACTGACTAAATCATTTGTTAAATATTATCATTGAGATGCACAACGTTAAAAAAATGCCACATGACTCATTTCCAACATGAAGCTTGTAATTCTTCTCATAATTTACTGGCTGCAGCTACTGAAAGCTCCATTGAAGAATCAGAGCAACCGGCAGGCTAGTTTAGATACTGTGGTCACTCTCACTGACCAACAGCATCGTGACAAATAAATAAATTGTACATTAATGATGTGCCTTTATAACATTGTAATAAAATCTAAAATAGTCAATATTGTCAATTGTCAAAAATAACCTAACTCAAACTAGCTTACCAAAGCATATCTGAAATCAATACATCAATATTAAACTCACCAGGTTGTGTGGTTGGCATGTTGTCGTCAATAAAGTCATAGAGGTGCTCCTGTTTCTGCTTAACACTATACGCTGCTGAGACACAGAGCAGAAATTAGATCGCTCTTTAAAAAAGTCAGAAATGGTAAAGAGATGTTTTTAAAAAGCAATAGTTTTAAATGAGATGTATGAATGTGAAGAACATATTCTCCACATTCACAACTCCATATTATGTAAATATTCTGTATCTAGAACCATACGTCCAAGCCAAGACTCATTTAGGCTCTTTATTTTTTCAAGCATGTATAGAACTAGGAGTGAGAACCGGTATAATGATTTAAATTCTTCCTCAAGTATGAGTTTTGTCAGTACTGTTAGGCCACAAATGAGCACAGATAACTCAGCACACAAACAGTGCACACCTGCTAACCTGTTTAGCTGAGTTTCTGAGTCAGGGGTGTTTCAGTAACATTTCAAATGAAAATGCAGCAGACCAGGCCTGAGCGATATCGAAAAATAATTATCATGATATTTTCTAGTCAAAAAAATTGCCTAAAAGGATAACATCACCCCTCCCTCCTCCCTCCCACCTCCGAAAAGAAGAAATACACTTGGTCCACCTCAGCTTTAATCTACTTTCTATTATATTTTAGCTTACATTCTTTTCAATATTAGCTGTGTTAATGAAAATCTTCAATAAAACTCACATATTAAGTTATGATACTGAGTAACCCAGCATCTCTTGAGATCTGCTTTACCTGTCTTTATAATAAACGTTACTGCACAGGCGTTCTTGAGCTTCTTCTGATGCAGATTCGCAACAACTTGCATGCTAATAGAGCCCATTTTTCACCTAAAAACATTCATGATTCATAACTCATCTAACCACTGGGACAGTGGTTAGTTGAATTACAAAAATACTGCAGGTGTTACTCAGTAAATCACACTGTCACGCATCCCTCGGGCTCAGAGGTCTCTAAGGACTCCATTTCCCAGAATCCCCATTTTTCTGGGTCTGACTGTGTTTTGGTATTTTGACTTTTGCCCTTGTTGCCTTTGCCCCTTGGACTCTGTTTGCCAGGTTATGTTGGTGTTTTTGAGTCTTTTGTCATTTCTGGATTTGACCTTTGCCTGTTCTCTGACCATGTTTTTGGATTGTGATTCTAACATTAAAGCCTCATATTCACTTTTCATCCGAGAGTGTCTGAGTCATTCTGCCTCGTTACACACATGGAGCACAGACAATGGGGAGTTTACTCTACTGGAGCTTCTGAAGGCCCCATTTGTACTCACTGTTTTAAGAGTAAAAGTGAATAAAACATTGTTTACGTTTTATTTAGTATTATTTATTACCTTTTTCTGAGAACACCATCCACAGACGAGGATCAGAGAACCTTTCTCTCCAGGTTAGAGTTAACTTAGCTGCTCTATGACATCTTAGTCATTTTAACTTGGTTTTTAACTGCAGTGAGTCACTTTGAGTTGAGCTGAAGTTCCAAAATACATCAGCATTCATTTTCAGTTCCATTCAGACAAAGTAAATTAAGGGGAATCTGTGCAGTAAAGGTAGAGTTACAGTGCATAGCAGAGAGAATAAACACAGACGTCTCTCTGTCTCTGTCTCTGTCTCTGTCTCTGTCTCTCTCTCTCTTTTTCTCTCAAAAACTGACTACTGGTACATGAGGCCACACCTTAAATGTGAACTTTACCAATGTATTTTTGAGCTGTTTGATGGTAAATTAGTCTCTAATTCTCTCTCAGTTCTTTTAACAAAACACAGATTATTGCCATTGGGTTACTCGTCCATCCGGTCACATTGCTCCATTGCCCAGGCCTACAGCAGACAGTTGACCAGCACACAATGTCTAGTCCATTGCATCTGAAGTGGAACACTTTGTTTTAAGGCAGTGGACAGAAAGAAACTGTTGTCTTTTAGGGTTAGCATTAGCCTAGCATGGACACCAGAGCACTTCTGTTTCCTCTCATACTGCCTAAAAAGAGCCACCTGCCCTGGTCAGCTGTATCAGACAACGCTTTGTTCTCTGGGTCTTGTCAATCCAACCAAGCCATAGAGCAGCTGGTACTGAAGTGTGAACAACTGTAATATTTGTAACATTCCAGTCTCATGGTCACGGTTGGGGTGGGGGGTCATGGGGGAGTGTATGGGATGTACGTAAAAGACTTAAGACATTCAGTGAAGCTAAAGTTTCCCATTTTGGCCCCTTTTTTAAAGAATATAAGAGGGACACTGGAAAGCAGTAGACTGACTTCACTTTCAATTCAAATTCAAAAGAATGAAATGTTTAAACTTGTACCCATTTCCACATAAAATAAAATCTTTTACATCAGTATATTTTTTTTTTCTTTCAGTTTGCTCACTTTGGGGACGAATTGGGTTGATGCAATACATTTTATTATGTGGACCCGATATTTATACAATTTTTTGAAACAAGTAAAGTAAGTGTATTTTTTTTTAAGGGAACTTCAGTGTCACCCAGTTGTGGTCCCTGACTCTCACATTGAAGTATGCAAGAATATACAAGCGAGAAACCCATTTTAAAAAATACAATATTCCATAATTTAGGGACCACAAAAAATAATCACCATTCCTTTTGTAGAAACGTCTCCATGAGAACAAACCCAGCACCACAGCAACCAGGCAGCAACCTGCTATGATCAGGAAACTCCACAGAGCTGAAAATAAAACACAACATTACCTCACAGGATCCATTCACATCTTCATACTAAGGATGTTTGGCATAAGTTGCCTTTAAAATGACTTGAATGAAAAACAAAATGAAAATCTAACCATTACTGCTAGAGTACTTTTTCTGATCTTCAGAAAGGTACCTGAAGAACATAACAGTAATGGATGAGTTCTCCGCATTTCCCACCCAGACCCCCTGCACAGTTCAGCCTATTTCCTGTCTTCTGACGTGCCTGTTTCATCTAATGAATGATGGGGTGATCGGCTGATGAAATCAGATCCGTTTTGTTTTCACCAGTGGCTTCCCTGGATTAGTGTTTAGGACTCAGTGTAATGCCTAATGTCACATATCAAGTCATATAAAAATGACTCCTCCTTAACATCTGATTAAATCTGAGATAGTACTGCATTATGTGTATGTAAACACAAAACACTGTGATTAGTTTTTTTCATGTCATGCAGATGTAAAAGTCATCTGTTGATTAAGTCCTAGCCCGGAAAAGGATGGCATGCCCACTCCAGCTAAGGGGAGAGAACCTGCCACAGGTGGAGGAGTTTAAATTGGGGTCTTGTGCACAAATGATTGGAAGAGGGATTGTGAGATTGGTCTCGGGCTGGGACAGGCGGCAGCAGTAAAGCGGTCACTGTACCGGACTGTAGTGGTGAAGAGGGAGCTGAGCTATAAGGCAAACTTTTTTACTGGTCGGTCTACATCCCGAACCTCACCTGTGGTCATGAGCTGTGGGTAATGACCGAAAGAATGAGATCGTGGATACAAGCAGCAGAAATGAGCTTTTGTTTGTAGGTTGGCAGGCAACACTCTACTCGATGGGGCGAGGAGCTTGGTCATCCGGGAGGAGCTCAGAGTAGAGCCGCTACTCCTCCATATTGAGAGGAGCCAGTTGAGGTGGTTCGGGCATCTGATCAGGATGCCCCCTGGACTCCTCCCAGTGGGGGTTTACAAGGCACGGCCCCAAGGTTGTCCTAGGACCAGCTGGAGGGATTACATCTCCAAGTTGGCCTGGGAGAGGCTTGGGGTCCCCCAGAATGAGCTGGAGGAAGTTGCAGGGGACAGGGTCATGGGATTCTCTGCTCTCCCATCTGCTACCGCGACCCTATCTGGATTAAGCGCTTAATGACGATAAATGATGAATGAATCTGTTGATAAACTACCAAGGATAATTATTAGGTGTTTGATTTTTAGATATAAGATTTTCTTTACATTATTGGAGTGATTTTTCTGTAACACTTTCTATGAATGTCACCTTTGTAAGCATCTATAAACACATTCATAACATGTTATAATGCATTCATATAAACATGGCTACAAATATTTATAAAAATGCATTATAGCCATGCTTATTATGCCTTATGAATTGTTAACATAATACATTATAAATACTGTTCATAACAAATTATAAGAGCTCATAAGTCGTATTTGTCCGCTCTAAGTAAAGTGAAGCGTACTGTACTAAAGCCTCCTCCAGTGTTAAGAGTGAGGCTTCAAGTTGAAGTATTTACTGAAGGATTTACTGAAACACTAAAACATACACAATAAAGCTCATTACAGACTTCAAATGTCAGAGTTTAAACTAGAGCTGCCATCAGTGTTTTACCCAATGTGGGAAAGGTAATGTACACCACCGTTAGCTTGGTATTTGTCTTTACGCTCTCCAAGCTGGGACTGACTTCTTTGGCACTGACATTATAACATGTTATCGACACTACTTCTAATGCATTATATTAACAATTCATAATGTATAATAAACATGGCTATAAAGTGTAATTCATATTTATAAATGTTTATAATCATGTTTATAATGCCATATGAATGCATTATAACATGTTATAAATGTGTTTATAGATGCTTACAAACATGACATTCATAGAAAGTGTCACCAATTTTTCTTACCCACATGTCTAATTATTTCTATTAATCTTTCCTACAATACATCAATGAGTCTGGAATCTGCAGTTTCAAAAAAATGCAAAATCTCGCAGCACATGATCTAGGGCTGGGGTGACCATACACCCTATATATATGACCATACACAGCACTGTTTTTCCTGGGACAATCCTGTACTTCAATGCATGTCCCAGCTTTGCAACTTATTTTTGAAAGATTTACGTTTGTCCCATGTGTTAAAGGATGAACTGATTATTAGGATTAATGGAATCACTGCCAAAATTTACTGCATTTAGGCAAAAGGAACACATCAGTTATTTCACAAGTTACATGTCTGTGTACACATCTACCAATAAAATGGGCATTTAGGTTTCTTAATTATGCAAAAGCCTAATTTATTTGAGCCACTTATAATCCATCCAACATCGATGTGTCTTACTACCTGTGCTCTGCACAACGGTCAAACA